AGATAGAAACCTAGAAATAAGTCAGCCCGGTCAGAGAACCGAGCCGGAAATTGAACCATGTCTTGGATCTAATCCTCGCTCTGATACTCTAACTGGATGATCTTAAACAGGCAACTGCCCATTTGTAAACTTCATTTTCTCATCTCTCCTCCCCTTCTCCTAACTTTTGGTGTGGTTCTACAAACTCTCTTTTTCTAAGACCCTTCTGGGCAGGCACTTCTAGCTAATACTATACTGAAAGCACTGCTGGGCACAGAAAGAGTGCAGGTGAGGAAAGAGGATAAAGTATTTAAAAAGGAAATCTATGCCCTTTGACATGTTTAAGGAAATTCACACACAAGTCCATATCAGCATTGTCTTCAGAAGCAAATGCGAGCAGAATAGATTCTATACCCCTCATCCCAGAGTTTTGTTTTTCAAAGAAGGGGCCAAGAACACCAACACCCAAATTCTACTTAGGCTCTGTCATCCTCCCTACAACTGAGATTAAAAAAATACAGTGCCCTCTCTACAGAAATATCCTCCCATAAAAATAACCAGAATGGGTTTTCCATGTGTTAATACCATCATCACCATTTAATTTTTAACATAAACTTTACAATATGTACAATTTTATTTGGATAATACACTTATGTGTGAATGGTAGAAATCAAGCATGTATATTATATACATGTGTACACAAGCAGTTGTATTCACAGGATAAGTGCATTTTATCATCTCTGATCCATATCAAGTGGCAAGCTGACCTCATCTGATACAATTAGGTATGAACACAGTACAATACGTAGGGATTGAATGGGAAACAGTAACTGCATACTGGGAGAACTTTTCAAGTATAGACCCCACATCACTTTCAACCCTGTTCACCAAAAAGAGATGGGGTATCTGGAAAGGTCTAATTGTGTCTCCAGTGAAAATAAACAGTCCTTTTGGAAGGAAAATTGCCTTTTCATAGAACCCTTCACTCATTAAATATCAACCAACACATTTAGCTTCCACCTACTCGAACTTCTTTTTCTTTGAGTCCAATTATGTCTACTATAGCCGTGGTTAATACAAACAGGCTCCATTTCAGAAACAACGCATGTCCCCTTTTCAAGGATTCATGCACGACAGCAATGCACAAAGAAACAGTACAGGAATGTGCATAATGTTAACGAATATATCCAGCTCCTCTGTAAGGTATTTTAGATTTCTCAAATTAGTGTTTATTTAGGTCTTGAACCGCAAGAGATTTCAGTACAAGGTACTTATTTATATGACAACTGATTATTAAAGCTGCACTTTTTAGATTTAAAGGAGATAAATTTTTAATCACCATTTAATTAACATCAACATTTTTTTTTCTTTTTCATTAGCAATTCTATTTGCAAATAATTCAGGGCATTTGTCATTTCCTGAGAAGGATGCAGAATATTAAATACACATCAGTGGTCGACATATCAAATAGAATAAACAATGTGTGACTATATGACAGCCGTGGATCTTTTGACTAATTAACTGCTTTGGCTAGAGTCCCATTTAAGTGAAACTATTTCATTTGCAAACAAGGTGTAATTTTCTTTTTCTTCTCCCCAGAAAATAAGCGTGAAATGATGTGACAGATTTTGCTGCAATGGGTGAATTTTAATGCTTTCACTAGAAAAGCTAAATACAAAGACTCTCTGGCACCCTGTGAATCAGGGAAGAGAAAATCAAGAGTAATCCGTGGATGCCCAGTCATGGTGCTGGGCAGACAGATAAATAATGCAGAGAGATTTGCAGAGGACATAACAGTCATGTGTGGTGAGATTATAATCCTGCATGTCTCCCTGGCAGAAAGATAGACCTATAGGGACTTGCCAGCTCAGAGCATTGAAACCATAAGCGGCCTAAGAACCTGCAGATGTAAGGATGATGAAACTCATTTTCCAGAAGCACAAAGGTTTCTCAAGTACAGTTCATGCTCTAGAAGACTCTCTTACCCAGAGTATTTTAAACTGGTTGCATGTGCATGCTATTACCCTTGGACAGAGACCCAACCATTTGCATTCAAGTGTACCTCTCTGAGGACCTGTTGGGTCCTTCTCAAGTGGAAAAAACCAATTAGAATTAACAAGATATCATTATGGATGCCAGTTCTGACTTAAGCCAGCTGAAACTCAGGCATTTGTGTTCAGAGATTTGGACTCCTTGCCATCCACAAATCTAAGACCTCAGAGCTGGGATATGTTACAGGAATCTTCTGTGATGGATCTATAGTCTAGGGCTTCCTATTTAATTCTTGTTACTTCTCATACTGTGGTTTCCATTCACCACTGGACGTTACATTCCCAATATTCTTTTTGCAAAAACTGAACTTAGATGACTTTTGAATAACTCTGCATCTTTTCCTTAGAAATTGACCATCTGATCAGTAGTTGATTTTTTTTTTTTTTTTTTTTTTTTTTTTTTTTTTTTGGGATCATCACATTGAAGAGTCAATGAATTAG